GTGACGGTCATATCTACTTTACTAAAGTACAGAAATCGCTTCGGCGCAGCCGATTTACATTAAACCATTATTGACCTTTTGCCATGTAAATAACCGATAAACTATAGATTACAACCGATAAACCTAGTTTATCGACTGTGAAACTATGTTTAGCTCATTTTTGTGAATTTGGCATGCCATATATATTCATACCAAATATTAAAAGGGGTGGAAGTTGAAAATATTGCATTGTTTAAGGGGGCCGACTATAATTTCCATTGCGCAATATTTCGCGCATCATAGTAAAAAGAAGCGTATTTACGGTTTTAATGCAACTTTTTTCGCTTAATCATTAAAATTAAACAAAATTAAGAAATTATAGGTATAAAAATGTTATTAAAATTTGATATAACTAATTTTTTAACCGATTTTGCAATTGATAGTTCGGTTGACGTCGTTGCAGTGTGTTTTTAACATTAACAACAATTTTTAGAATAACTAGAGCCGAGCTCGTTGCAAAGCAACGAGTAGGTCTTCCGTCCTGTTTGACCGGAAGTAACTTTTATTTAAAAAAAAAGAGAAATGAAGTCCAAAAATGGGTTAATCCTCCAAATCTATGTTAAGTATTATAGCAAAATTAAGCCATTCTTTGGTACTTCCGGTTTGACCGGAAGTGACGACGGCGGACGGAAAATTAACATTTAAGCTTATAGTGAGACATGTTACCCAAAAACCTGTCAAAAACGGCAAAAATATGCATTTTCTGACTACTTCCGGTTCGACCGGAAGTGACGTCGCTGGACGTATTTTGACGACCCTATTAGATAAAGCTTGATATTTTGAACAACTTTGCTTCTTTGATGCATAACAAATTCTCAATACTTTTTGAGATATCTGGAAAAAACTTTTGGCCCCTCTAGGTCCCTTAATTTAGGGGTCAGCCCTTTTTTCGACATATTATTTAAAAGATCTTCTTATTCTGCACAAATTATGTTCTATATATTTTAACAAAATATTTTTAGTTTAGAAGATAAAAAGAAAAATATGAGTAATTTTTGGTTCTTTTAAGCGTTCTAATTTTTGACCCCTATGTAGCGCCATTTTGAATACAGAAATCGAAAAACAAAAACCGATGTGCACAACTTCAATCCTTCTATTATCTAAAATCAGTAGAATTTCTGTTCCAGTATTAGCCGTCTCTGAGCCTTTGTCTGGAAACGAAAGCCTATAAATTTTCCTTTAAAGGGAAATAACTCAAAACCGGACGTGGCTTTTTGTAATTTTAGACTTCATTCTGATAGAGTTTATTAACGTCAATAACATCTGAAAATTTGAGCGAAATCCGTTGAGAAATGTGCGAGATATGAGGCCTCAAAGTTACGGTCTAGGAAGCAGAAGAAAAAAAAGAATAATGAATCAGTAGAAGGTCTTCCGTTGGAAACGGAAGACCTTAATAATTGTATTTATGTATTGAATGCGATAACTTAGTTGGAGGTTTCCGGTAGGATTGATTTTGGTAAAATATAAAAAATTCTTAGATCCACGCCTTGGTTGACGTTTACGTGTGATAGAAGGTGTAAGGTCACGTGATCAGCTCAGCGAGTCATTCAGTTGTATTGTGATAACCCGCCTGCTGACCACGCTAAAATTAGAGGCACGTCTATTTTGAAGATTTGTTACGTCTGTGATTGTTTAACTTAGCTGAACGTGCCCTGGCTTTCTGTCGAGATGAAATTCCAAAGAACTGAAAGGAACAAAGTATTGTTCGTGTTGTAAAGTGCCATTTACAAGAACGGGTGGATTTTCTGGTTTATTGTTTACTGATGCGGTGGTACATAATATGTGCGCGGGTTATCAAATATATTACCTGATTACTGTATGATACATTTGGTGTATTTTTCTGCCGATATGAACTTTATTTATAAGCAGATATTCATGAGAAGAACATATTTCATGGAGCTATTTTATTGCGACATCAAACGTGGAACTTTTTCCTATCGTCTGAATTTTGAAAGGATTTCAAAGTAAGCTATTTGTTACTGGTTGAACGAAACAAATAGATACCTTTAATGATTACTATGTCTGTATCGATCTCCATGATCAGTGGACACAGAGTTTGATCAACAAAAGTTGTGATAGATAACGAACATCCTGCAAGTATCTGCTGCAAGCATCACTATTTCACAGCTGGGGTCACAGCGGGAGACCCTGAACCTCAAAGACTTGGGCGTTTTAGGTCCAGCCAGCGTACACCTGTGCTGCTTCACCGCGTGCATAAGAGAGTTTGCCTTCCCATGTGATTGAGGACGAAGGCCAGTATTATGTTTACTTTATAATTGATTTACAATTATACATAACACGCTTGAGGTTTCCAAATAGTTTTTTGTGTATAAGTTATTACTTTCAATTATTCAAAGGCATTGTTTAATACTCAAATCATGTATACTCTATAGTGAAAGCTTTTAAGTTAGCAACTTTATGCAAAGTTATTTAGTTTTATGGAACTACAATGAGAATTTCAATTACCTATCATAGTTTGCATATTTCATGTGTTTGCATTCAACATGATGTAAAACAGCTAGGCAGCATTGTTAAAACACTGCCCCTTCCTTAACAGGCATCTAATAGGTAATGCCAGCTATCTTTTAAGGTTAGTTGAGAAATGTGTATTGTAATCATGTAAATGAATGTACCAATTATTCATCTCTATGAGAGTGTTTTATTTGACTTATACAAAATTAGCGAAAAACAAGCTGCGGTGAGCTTGCATATAAGCATAAGAATACATAAATGATAATCTGTAGCTATTAAATAAAGGGTATAAAGAAATATTATTAAAGAAAAAGTCATAAACATACGCTCTTGAAATTTAAAACATAGAATTTTGAGAATATCTCCAATATTTTATTATGTTTTCATGTGAATCCATTGTGTGCGTCATATTTTGTAATACTCTATAAAAATAATAAAAATTTGCCAATTTTTTGCATTTTGAGATGCCCCCTCTGGTAACAAGACGGTAGAATTTTGTGTTTCTTAAAAATATTGTATAATATAGTATTACTCATCAAATATTATAGTTTGAACAAAACGTCTATTGTAGTATTTGTATAATTTACTTTAAAGTGCTAAAAATGGGCATTTTCCTATATAATCCTTTAGTAAATGTACCTGTATTTTGAGACGGTCCCTCAAAAATTCCTGGAAGGTAGATTTTCCCCAAACTTTGCATGTACAGTGAAGTTAATGTAAGTTATATATGGTATAAAAATGAAGAGTTTCGCTATTGTAGTTTTCACACGGTAAAACTATAGTTGGCCCCCTTAACTGGGCTTTAAGCTTCAATATGTTTCGTTATCTCCATATTTTATTAAAGTCATTACGTTTTAAATGAGACCTGTAAAGTTTAGTTGTCATGCAATGTCTCATTCTAGAAAAAACTCCGACCATGGGAAATTTACCAGAAGAACCTAGGGATGGACAAGACTGCTTTTAATATTTAAAAAGGTCGTCTTTATATTTTAAGGCATGTCACTCGTGAAATTTGTTAAATCAAGGATTTTTTGAGAAGTATATTTTGGATACATACTCATATAGAGTGAGTACAATTCGCAGAGAAAATAGGGGGTCAGTGTTCACCTTCCTGATCTACGGTACGATGAAGTTGACCTTTTTGAACTTAAATTTTGACTCTTTGGTTAATTACTTTAACCTTTATCATATTTCATCAGATGTAACCATGTCAATAAATATGATTTTATTTTACGTAAACTATTTTGAACAATATTTATCATTGAACAAATCTTGCGAATTAATGCGCGTAAATTATTATGTGACCTTTTTGCACAAAAAGTAGCATATTTGGGATACTAAAAAACTAAATAAAACATTTTCTTAAATCAAGATTTTACGACTTAAGTGCTGATCAGTCACACATACCGAGTATTTCAAAATAATGAAAGAAAAAGTTGGTTGGTCAAAATATGTGATTTTCAGGCGAAAAATGGTTTAAAGTTTATCTTGACTTATTTGTCATATCTTCAGTTTTTGGCTAAGTTTGTTAAAGAAATGTGTAAAACGTGTTCTGAAAATATGAATTAAGACCTTTATTAAATATTTCTAGAAACATCATGATGGAAAATATTCTCCCAGTTAAAGTATTTGGGCTAAAATTCCAAGATATTGAATTTTTTAAAATTGTGGTGATTTGCAGAATTATCTGCTAAATATCCTTCCACACACAAGAAATAGTTCCTCATTAATCTTGCTACTTTGTAGCTTTTTGAACAGTTTTTTCGTTGAGTGTTAAAACATTAACAGTTGCAATTAAAGATGTAAGAGGGTCTGCGTGAACTTTTCTAAAAAGCCGACGAGGGAAATACCTAAATATCTTAAATCAAATATCTTAAAATGAAAGCTACAGCCAGAGATTTATTCTAAATGAAAAGCTCCTATACTCAAATAAATATTAGCTGGATTAAATATGCATAACGTGCAATATTAAATAAAGGAGGTGAAATATACAGATGAAGAGTAATTGAAATTACAAGATTTGAATTTTTTCAGTGTCTCTGCTGTTAATTTTTTAAGCTCCCGTGTTCGGTAGGAACTTATAAAAATCTTGAATTATTATCTGAAACACTCTGTTGTTTGTGAAATATAGATCACAAAATATCATATATTCCTCTCAGCGTAACGTTTTCTAGTTCGTGGAGGGGATACTGTCTCAGTGATTGTCGATATGAATACAGGCTGCTGGAAGGTCTCCCTTGAGCTGCTGATAAATCCCTAAGATCTGCCAACATATATCTTTAGAATATGGATGAATTGGTCCGTGCTTAACATAGATCTGTAAATCATTTAAGGCTACTTCTGCAAGATGCTCGTCACATTGCCTGTAACATAGAATTCTAACATATGTAACATTGCAAATGGGGAGATTTGCATGCAAGTCACTGGACTTTGTTTATAGATTAATTCATTGATATAACAAATGTTTGAATAGAGCACTATATCCTGTGCTACAGCTTACTCATCTTTGATTCACTAGTCTGTCCCCCAAATGCCTCGATATATCTCTTACTGTTTACGTAATGCAAATGCATGATGTATGGTTGTGCAAAGTAAATTTTTGCCTTCTGTAAATTCATATATCTGAAAGTCTTGTAATAATACATTACAAGGAACAGGATATCAGAAAAGAACCCTATTTTTTCTACCAGTTTCAACATGTAGCGCGATATTTTATCAGCTTTATACATAAGCTTATTCTCCGCAGTGTTAGCGCACCTGCTATGTAATAAAAAAGGTGTGCTCTGGAGGTTGTTGACCATGAGATATTGTACTGCCAGAACTTGATAGTTTGTAAGTTCTTCATTCATCAAAGTTTCCATTATTTTTGGGAACTCAAACCAGCTGTTCCGAGTTGGTATAAACATAGGATTATTTGATCTTAGTTCTATAAATAGATTCAAATCGAACACAATTTCTTCATCGTCCTCAGAATTATACATGCGTAGTCCAGGAATACAGAGACCAGTTGTAATCATTGTCCTGATTGAGTGACTATGAAGAAGTAATGCCATACCCTTCTCATACAGTCCGTATAACTCGAGAAATAACTTCCTTTGAGATTCACCAAATATGTTTGTTAAAAACATGTTGTTTTCCGGAACCAAAAAGTTAGGACATACGCCTTCATACACCCATTTAAGAAGTTTAAAGCAGACCCAGAAACATTTCAGAAAATTTTCTGGATACCAGTGAGGTGTTAAACTTTGCTGAATAGGCCAAAATACTGCTGTTTTCATGTGATAAGAGCAAAGTAAACTTTTTTCTATCCTTTCCTTGATGACTTCTTTTAGAATTAGCTTGAGTAAACCATATGTAAGAAACTGACAGTGGTTCATTGTGTATACAAGCTTTTGCTCTGCAAGAGAGAACGAAATTCTCCATTCATTTTCCTCATGATTTCCTAGCTTGTGCTCTATTGCTACAAATTGACAACCATTCCTGAAAATATCATCAACTACGTGAGGACTTGGCCACGATTGACATCTATCGATCCATGCTAAGGCAACTGGAGGCCAAAAATCACTTGCAAAACAGTAGGCATCGTCAAATTCTACTCCTCGGAAAATTCCACTACTACAGGGCCCATGGATACGGCATTTTGGTCTCACTGATAATGGCGACATATTATTTCGAATTGCAGAACTGGATATATATTCTTTGCCATGCAATGTAAAACACGCCGAATGGATTTGTATTAATGTAGTGGCAGGAAAGAGCAATTGGAGTAATACAAACCCTGGTGGACTCTGAGAACAATCAGATAAAATCAGTGTTTTTCTGCTGTAGAGTTGGCTCTGGGATAAATTCCAAATTACCCGGTTGGTTTTAGGCCAGAACATAGAATCTCTATCGGAATCCGGCAGTTTAAAGCCTTCTCTATGACTTCCGCTATACATCACACAACAATAGGCTTGTGGATTAAATAAAGGAGTTACCATTTCAGAAAAATCATTTAAATCCCTTCTCATGGTAACTAGTTCTGAGGTTCCCACTATTTGACAGAGCCTCTCAAACACCATAGATGACATGTTTTGTATAACCCTCTAACTAAGTAGAAAAAAAAAACAAGCTAGTTAGGATTCACATTTAATACTATCTAGAACAGCAATACAAGTAAATTTTATCTTCCTTACCTAAAGGGTAAAGTGTTGAGAGATGCCATCCTCTGAGATCAATTCCTTTTCTTGTTTTGTTTTTTTAATGTCACTTTTATACTTTTTAAATTAAAAATCCCAACACAAGCAACCTTGTGGAAATTTTATACATCTTATTATAGCCCCGTTATGTTAGGGGATAAATTAGATATGAGACCAAAAAAAAAACTAAGACCCACTTTGGAATCTGTCAACTTCCGTAAGGAAAACAGTGATTTTGGTTTTAAACGTTTAAAAAGTGTTAGATAATTATGGAAGCACACCCTTAAGACATGAACTTAGATTTGTCAGAATGAGTCCAGGGCAGAACACTCTGCATAAAAAATTGGGATAACATAAATATTCCCCTCCATCTCTTACTCTGAAATGAGATAAGCCCTCTTTAAAAAAATGTTGTTTGCCTTCTCCTGACTAAAAAGGACTGACTCAAATTTTTTTAACCTCATCAAAACTGGTATTTTTTTTAAAAAATTCTTTTCAAAGCTTTCTTATTTTATTATTAACAAAACTCTATATTAGTCAATCTTTTCATATATAAAAATCATTAATCTCCCCTAACTACCCACCCAATTTTATTATCCAGGTTAGGAGAGGCCAAGCAAATATTGTTTGAAAGATGTCTTTAGGTAGAGATTTTTTACCTGCTTTGTGAAACACTTGTCTTAGATAAAATTAATTTTACAAAAAGGAGTAAAGTCTTGGCAGGATCTTATGTTTAAATGTATTACTGGACATTTATATCTGTTTATACATGTAGATTCTCTCTGTGATGAATTCCCAGCTACAGCAAGGCTGTTCCAATGTCTGTTTTCTAAAGTCCTTTGGTAAAATCAGGCTTAATGCAACTCCAGAGGTAACTGCCAGTTTTTCATTAAAAAAAACTATCAGACAAAAAGTTTGAAGGAGAATTTAAGTTGATAACTTATTTTTCCATCATAATGAGGACATAAAAGTAAATATCTACATTTCAGACCTCAGTTCAAATATACATCATTTCAAAAATTAGCTACAGATCAATTCAACAAAATTGGATTAAAAAACAATAGAAATCATACAGAAGTTTGTAAGAAATTGATAGAATTATCCAGGAAAAAGGGTTACTACAAAAATATAACTTACTAACAATATTTGAAATTTTGTTTTTCATACTCACCTGATATTATTCCTGTTTTTCCTGAGTCCGTGTTTTTGCAATGTATAAGATTTGTATTGTTTACAGGATGTGATCTATCATTGTTTAAAATTATTTCCTTTTTTATGAGTTTGAGTTGAATTCTGCTATGCTCTGCGATACACGGTTAGTGTTTTTTAAAAAATACTTTTTACCGGTGAGATTGTATATAATCATTATATACTATCAAAGCAATGTAAGCTGCAAGTTTGACATGAGAACATTTTTGTTGCAGATCTGTAATTAAATATTTCAATAATAGAAAAATATATTCCCAAAAGTTTTTATTTGTAGACAAATTAATCCATCGTCGGAACCCACGGGTTTTTTCTCCTTTACACTGCATTTAACTGATATGGATTCAGAAAACCACAGAGTGGTGATCCGGAAAGTCAGATCACGACGTCACGTCATTGCATGAATTCAACAGTAAAATTGAGTGATGCACTTTATTTATATAATAAATACATTTTACACAAATTTTTCCAATCTAATTTCAAGGAAATACATGTATTGAAAAATACCAAGGGCATTGTACTCTCCCGTGAGATAAGTAAACAAGTTTATGAATAAAATTAATAATTTTAAGATATAGGCTTGTGTTTTTAAAACTTTCTTGACTTAGCAGTGTAGAACAGTATGAGCCTCGTCGATAACCAGAAGACGAACACGCTCTCCTGCAGGACCAAGAAGCATCGACCTCCACTCAGGATTCCCAACAACAGCTTCCGGCGATGAGAAGATAAAGTCGTAATCCCTTCGTTTAATACCGTCACCTTCTTCCACATCCCTGCAGATATAAGTTGCCGAAAACCCGAGGCCAGTCAAGTAATCGGTCTGCTCTTTCATGATTCTTATCAGAGGGCATACCATGAGGACTGTGCATTGACTGTCTGGATTCTCCTTTATCCACATCGTATGGAAAGCCTGGTAACATATAGACTTCCCAGCACCCGTTTTCACGCTTACAAAAACGTGATTGTTGTATTTGTTGTCCACTAAATAGTTGAAATGTGTTTGGAGCATTTTCATTGTACACTTTTCATATTGTTTTAGCTCACTGAGAGAGTGCAGAGCAGACTTATGCCATACTCCTTACATCTTTATTTAGCTAAATCTTTTTTTAGTGGGTCCCTTATCTACGTTATTTAGATATTATGGTATATGAAAGTTTTTACCACAAAGAGAGTACTTTTTCCATAAGTCGAGTTGTGCAGGGAAAAATAGTTCTTGAACTCTGCACTAGTCTAGTTCAAACAAAATCTTCATGTATGTACATGTTTATTAACTCTAGATTATTTAAAATAATTTTTACCAACATATTGTAGAAGCTAAATGAATTATAAAAGTTTTTTTAAAATTAAAAACAGTACAAAAACAGCTGACACTGTAATTATAAGGTTCATGGACCCTCTGATAGGATAGATAACTCGGAGTAATGACTATTTATCCTTTTATTATGTTTATAACACTGATAAGGTAAAAAGATCATATCTGTCAAATTTTGCCTCGCAAGCTTTGTTAAAATTATTTGCATTTTGATTTTAAATAACACTTCTTTTTGGAAAATCATAAGTGTTATAAGAGAGTCTCAAAGACAAACTCACTTATTATGTCTTTGACAGCCTCACACATTCACATATGTAAGTTTAAATATATAGACTAAAATTACGGGAATGCTCAAAGACATTAATTTGATAAATAAAAAAGTGAGTAAGCATAACAAATATTGTCAAATTCCAGGGTTTTATATTGCCTTATACATTGCAATTTCTCCATATGGAAGTTGTTTTTAAGTCATTTTAAAGGGAATATATCAGTTGTCCTGTGCATCAATTTTGTTCTAAATATCTTTGAAATCTATATGTCTACTTATAGCTATTCAAATTTGAAAGTTTTAAATCTAAAATTTTATTAGTATTACTGTTGAGTCTGGGAATGACTATCGAGAAATTAAATTATATGTAGACTTTTTAGGTCACCTGAGTAACTCAGGTGACCTATTGCTATCCGTTTTCGTTCGTCGTCGTGTGTCATGTGTTAACATTTGAACATTTTCTGCTTCTTCTCTGAAACCACTGAAACAATTTCAACCAATTTGGTATACATCATCTATGGGTGAAGGGGAACAAATATTGTGAATTTCATGGTCCCCACCTCCCTGGGGCCTGAGGGGTGGGGCCAAAACCACTAAAATTATTGCAATCTTTAAAAATTTTCTTCTTTACTCCTGGACATCAAGCAGGCAAACTGTGGGCATTAATGTAATGAGCATTGAGTCCTCTACCAAAATTAAAAAAATTATGGCTCCAGGGTCAGGGGTTCTTGTGCTAGGGCGGGGCTATATAGATTATATGGTTAAAATGCATTATTTCTTTGAAAATCTTCTTCTCTGCTCCTGCGTATTAAATAAACTAAATAAGTACATATTTATGATGAGCATGATTGCTTCTTCCAAAATTGTGAATTTTATGGCCCCAGGGTAAGGGGCTCTGGTGTTATGGTGGGGCTCTATTGATTATATTGTGAAAATGCATTTATTCTTTGAAAATCTTCTTCTTTGCTTCTGGATATTAAATAAACCAACAAAGTAAATAGTTATGATGAGCAAGAGTGCCTCTCTCAAAATTTTGATTTTTTTGGCCATAAAAATTACAATTTAGGAAGAGGCACTTTGAAAATCTTATTCTCTGCTTCTGGGTATTAAATAAACCAACAAAGTAAATAGATATGATGAGCAAGAGTGCTTCTTCCGAAATTGTGAATTTTATGGCTCCAGGGTCAGGGGTTCTGGTGTTACGTTGGGACTCTATTGATTAGATAGTGAAAATGTATTATTTCTTTGAAAATCTTCTTCTCTGCTTCTGGATATAAAGAAACTACTTAAGCACAAAGTTGTGATGAGCAAGAGTGCCTCTTCCAAAATTGTGAACTTTATGGCGCCAGGGTCAGGGGTTCTGGTGTTAGGACAGGGCTCTATTGATTATATAGTAAAAATATAAAAATACATTAATTCTTTGAAAATATTTTCCTTTGCTTCTTGGTTTTATGCCAATGATTCAAGTATATATACTCAACAAAAAAAGAAACGCATATTGTTTTACTCGTCAAAAATTTTTTTAGAATGTACATGAAACAACTATTTTTTATATCAATGGATACCTGTGTCCTATTTAAAGGACAACAAGGGGTTTTAAAACCCAAGTCTTGAATTATCTCCCTTAATCAAACATGTTTATGAAAGAAGTGTTTTTCATGATTTCTTCTAAATCAGTTGTCTATTTTCATTCAAATTTTGGATTTAGAGAAACTTTTCACACTTCTATTAAACCCATATTTAACATTTGATTGCAGTGTTGATACTGCAATGCCACGCCCAATCAAAGATGAATACAACCAGGCTAACGATGATACTAAATGGAGCTACGCAACAGGAAGTTGCAACTGTATTTGAAATAAATCAATGGGCCTTAAAACCTTAAAACTAACGTCTGGAGAACACTATCATGCCATCTGCATGTAACCACAACCAGACTAGACCGTCAGACCCCCCCCCCCCCCCATCACCTCATGCGATTTAGAACTTGCTGTAAAACTGCTGCTATAATTGCTGGATGATAAAATCTGCATAAAAATGCATAAATTATTCGCAAGCGACTGAAAAGAGATGGTATTCCTTCACAATATCCGTACATTGGAAATCCAATAGCATTGAGACTTTGCACAATACATATTGTTATGCCCCTTGAATTTGGGCGCAATGAAAATGACATCAACTTGACTTTTCAATTTGTAGTATTG